TGACCCCACATACCCTGTAGGTGAATGATGTCAACTTTGAGAACATGAGCAACGATGACGCTGTGCGTGTGCTTCGGGAGATTGTGTCCCAGACAGGGTAAGTAGGGCCCATGTGAGGTAGGAGGGGCACGGGGTAGAGGGGCTGTGTGTGCCTCACCCATGTGATCTGTGTAGGCCCATCAGTCTCACAGTGGCCAAGTGCTGGGACCCAACCCCTCGGAGCTACTTCACCATCCCAAGGGGTGAGTGACCCCACGGAGGGGTGGTACAGGTGGGGTCTTTCTTCTCTGCCTCTGTACTGTCCCTACTTACTATCACCTGTCATCCGTTGCTGTGTGGTGACTTTCCAGCTGACCCAGTGCGACCCATCGACCCAGCTGCCTGGCTGTCCCACACGGCAGCCCTGACGGGTGCTCTGCCCCGCTATGGTACGAGTCCCTGCTCCAGTGCCATCACACGCACCAGCTCTTCCTCACTAACCAGCTCAGTGCCTGGTGCCCCACGTAAGTGGCAGCTCACAAGAGACCCCCCCCAGGAAACTGAGGCCAAAGGACAAGGGTCAGCTCCAACTCTGAGCCTTGGTGCTCATCAGAATTATTCCTGTCTGTCCTCAGTACCTTCACAAACGTGTTCACAAAGATACATGTATACGTCTCTCATAGCCCAGCCATACTGGCCGTCTTGATGCATTGAAGGGTCCTACTAGGCCTCTGTGAAGGGTTGGGAGGACGTGGTAGCCGCTGCTTTGCTTTTCTGCTGCCTAACATAACTAACACCTTGAGCTCTCCAGGGAGGTGCTCAGTGGGGAAGGGAAAGGGGCTGGCTTGCCCATGTGTGCTTAGACTGGGATTGGGGAGAATATCCCAGTTTTAGCTCAAAATTTTGATGAGAGATCCCTCTCAAGGGTAGGAGATTGAGGTTTGATCCTGTCCCCTGCTCCCAACTCCATGGGTGTCCAGCCTCTGCCTGTTGGTTGCTTGCCTGGGCTCAGAGAAGGGTGCTTTGCAGAGCTTGAGGAGGCACCGCTGACCGTGAAGAGTGACATGAGTGCCATCGTCCGGGTCATGCAGTTGCCAGACTCAGGACTGGAGATCCGGGACCGAATGTGGCTTAAGATCACAATTGCCAATGCTGTCATTGGTGAGTCCTTGGCTGTGTGGGGAGGACCCAGTCTGTTCTTCATTCTGGTGTAGCTTCCCAGGGCTTGGCTCCCCTGACTCTCATGGGCCTATGGCCAGGGGCCGATGTAGTGGACTGGCTGTACACACACGTGGAGGGCTTCAAGGAACGAAGGGAGGCGAGGAAGTATGCCAGCAGTCTGCTCAAGCACGGCTTCCTGCGGCACACGGTCAACAAGATCACCTTCTCTGAACAGTGCTACTATGTCTTTGGTGACCTGTGCAGTAGTGAGTAGGGGGTCATGGGGGAGGGGTTGTTATGAGGATCATCCATCTGCCCTCACTCACCCTCCCCTCCTTCCTGTCAGACCTCGCATCCCTGAACCTCAACAGTGGCTCCAGTGGGGCCTCAGACCAGGATACACTGGCCCCGTTGCCCCACCCATCTGTACCCTGGCCCTTGGGTCAAGGCTACCCCTACCAGTACCCAGGACCCCCGCCCTGCTTCCCGCCTGCTTACCAGGACCCTGGCTTCAGCTATGGCAGTGGCAGTGCTGGGAGTCAGCAGAGTGAAGGTGAGAGGCCTGCTACCCCTCCTCCACTCCCATTCCTTGGCTCCGCCTGGCCCTGACGCTGCCCTTTGTGCTCCTGCTGTGTGTTTTGGGCCTGGTGGGTCCTACCGTGTGTGTAGGGCGGGGAGAGGACTTGTGTGAGGACTCACTTTGGTTCTGTGGGTAGAGGCCTTGGGAATAGAAAGACTGCTTGGTGGGAACAAGCCTAGTGTTCTGTCCAGGTGGCAGAGGCAAGAGATCAGGACATGATGTAGCAAGAATGAGGGCGAGTTTCCAAGGGTATCAAGTAGGGTTACTCTCTAGACCCCAAGTCAAGGGGAGAATGGGCTTTATCATTTATGATATCTGCAGCCCAACAGAGTGCCAGACAAGAACATCAGACACTGTCATGGAAGTATATATCCCAGGAATATTGAAGACCCTGGAGGGTGGGTGTCCCTGAGGAGCAGATAGGCTGAAGCAGAGGTCTTAGGCAGAGTGAGGCACAGCTACAGGGTCTGGAGAAAGATTCACACAGCCAGCTTTGGGACATAGGATGGGAGAGAGGAGAGGTTGGGCTTGAGGGTGGCGATGCCTAAGGGGAAGCTATTGAGTGATTACAGACCCTAGACAGGCCCTTGCATGTACCCTGGCTCAGCTTGGCCCACAATAGTCCTAATTAGCAATTGGTGAGCACTGGACTGGTATGTGACTTGTGCTATCCCTTGCTTTGTGCTGAGCAAGCCTTAGACTGAAGGACTAGCAGAGTGGACCCTCGGGCCGGTAAGCCAGGTCCCCCTGTGTCCCTCTCAGCATGTCCCCAGCCAGCACGTGTTCTCAGGTTCCCACTACTTTCAGGACAGGGGATAAGCAAATTAGCTGACCAGGGCCCTGGGTTGGGTGGAAAATGGACCTTTGGGTCATGAACCTAAGATGGCTAACTGGAATGCTGGGCACACAGGGCTTTCACTTTTTCAGCTGTAACATCAGCCCTTGGTTCGAGCATTGGGGTTAGCTGTGGGGTGCCAAGCTGGTCCCCATAATCCCTGCTGCCCGCCACTGCCCCTAGCTTCTCGCCTGGTATCTGCATGGCTGCCATTTCCCCCACCCCCAGGCTCCTCATGTCCTGCCCTGGCTGTCTGGGAACAGCTGGTGCTCCTGGAAGTGGCCAGGCCTACTGCTGACTGTTGTCTCTTCCCGCCTCCCAGGGAGCAAGAGCAGTGGGTCCACGAGGAGCAGCCATCGGACCCCAGGCCGAGAGGAGCGCCGGGCAGCTGGAGCCGGGGGTAGTGGCAGTGAATCAGACCCCACAATACCAAGTGGGTCTGGTAGCACCAGCTGGTGGGAGCGTCCTGTCAGCCAGCTTAGCCGTGGCAGTAGTCCCCGAAGTCAGGCCTCAGCTGTAGCCCCAGGGCTCCCCCCACTGCACCCCTTTACAAAAGCCTATGCAGTAGTGGGTGGGCCACCCGGAGGGCCACCTGTCCGGGAGCTGGCTGCTGTTCCTCCAGAACTTACAGGTAGCCGCCAGTCCTTCCAAAAGGCCATGGGAAACCCCTGTGAGTTCTTTGTGGACATCATGTGATGATCAACCAGTGTCTTCAGTGCTGCCTGTGGCAAGAGTCTGTGGTCCTGCTATGCCAGGAGCTCTGTGGGCTTGCCTTAGTGGTGGCCAGCCAGAATAGATGAGCTGTGGGGTTTTGGCCAGGGCAGAGGGGACAAGTTGCAGAGAAGGGGCTGAGGGCAGCCATTCAGCCAAGGATATTGGCTTGACATTCTGCCTGCTATTGGGGCTGCTGATGGTGGTACAGCTCAAGTATCTGTAGAGTCTTGTAAGGGGGCATATCTGTCTTTAAGTCCTCAGCACAAATCTCAGGGACCACTCCTGGTTCCTCTTTTGGAAGTGACCTCCATTTAGGACAAGAAAGGCTCTCTTGGGCTCTGTTTTCCCCTCTCCAAACTCTCTCAGAACTGTGCTCAGGGGCACAGGCTGACCCTCACTGAGTTCATGGGCCTCACCTGTCAGCCTAAGGTGAGGTTCTTGCAGGGTTAGACAGAGCCCTCAAACTGCCCAGGTAGGGTCTAACTTATTTATTTATTACTAGCCTGCCTGCTCTGGGGGTGGCGGCTGGTTACCCAGTGGGGGCAGTTTGCATGTCCCTTTCCCCACCTGGTACTCAGCACATGACAACAGTTTGTATTGAAAGTCTGGAAGGTGGCTAGTAAGGGAGACAGGAGAGAGGCCTGGCACCTATACACTGTCTCAGCCTCAATGGAGGGGTGGTAGTGAACACAAGAGCTACAGCGATGAAGTCGTGTCCTGTCACTGCTGTCCTGGAGGCTGCCCATCAGCATGTGCCAGTGCCATCCTGGCACAGTAGCCCCATCCTGCATCTACACTGTAGATGCGGTGTCAAAGTCTGAGTGACTGGGTAGTTCATATAGAGCTGCTTCTGTGTAAATGCTATTTTAAACACTAAAAAACGTTTAATTTTATGGGACTCATGTGTGGCTTGTTTCTTTTTCCTCCAGCTAAGCTGCTTCCGGATTCAGGTGTGGGGGCCAGTCCAGAACTGACCTAGGTCTGATCCTGCCTGGAGATGGAAGATGGTGTCCCTTTCTGCTTAGTCATGTGTCTCTGTCCCTGGTGCTGGCCAGTAACGGGGGCCTTGCAGGCAACTTTTCTGTCCTTGGTACTAGAGGCTGATGCCCAGGACCACCCCCCTCCAGTGCTGGCCTTGGTGCTGACGTATACCCCTGCACATGCTCTGTCCAAGGTGCTGGCGGTAATCTGGTTCTCTCCTACAGGCTAGGGCTTGGCCAAGAATGGAGGAGGCTGGATGTTGCCTACCTCCTGTGTGGTCCTCTACCTGCTGGCTTTCTTGCTGTGTCCTGACATATACATATGTCCAGCCTTTTATTCCTGGGATGCCTGGACAGGGTGGAGGGCCCCAGGTTGGGCATATTCAGGCAAGTACCTTCTAGCCTTCCAGGGTCTGCCTGGGACATTCCTGAATTCAAAGTATGTCGATGGAGTCCCAAAGAACCCTTAGTGGCCTCCTTCCTAAGATAATGGGGCTCAGTCACCTGGGCAGGCCTTAGGTGGGCATAACAGGATCAAGGACAGTGTTGCTTTTGAGGGATAGGCGAGACGGTCATACGGTCTGTCTTGCACACCGCAGGCCTGGAGATCACTGGAGCTAAGGTCAGTGGACAATTTGGAGTCAGCATCTATAGTTAAGTGTCTCAAGTTGAGGTACTGTTTGGGGTTTGTTGGCCTGGAATATCTCTACTAGGGCTGGGCTCACTAGAGGTGAGGCCATTGGGTCAGCGGTCATTCATTGTGTTCCTGAGTTGCTCCCCTGCCACTGTTGCTCCCATCTGCTGCTTCCTTGGGGCTTTCTCCCAGGAAGAACTCCTGGGTGTTGAGCTTTGGCAGCCACAGAAGCACATAGCACTTGGGCAGGTGGAAGGTGACCAGGATGCCCATGGCACACAACAGAATGGCACCCATCTGCACAGCGGGCTGGTAGGCCACATGCACATTGGCCAGGAGGGGAACAAAAGAGACCCAAGTGATGAAATAAGCCAGCATAGCAAAGGTGAGACCACGTGCTTGGTTGTAGCGACCAGGCTGGCTCTGTACCAGGAAAGTGCCCAGGAAACAGAGGAAGGCCAGTATTGCATTGATGAGGTGCACCAAGCCCAGGCTGACCCAGGAATGCATACGGCAGTGCTCTAGTACCTCTGTGGGCAGTATCTTCCAGTCTCTCACCACCTTTGGTGGAAAAGCTATCAAGTACCAGGCACATAGTGCTGCCTCCACAAGAATGGCCAGCAATACAACCAGCCAAGCCCAGGGTCCCCGAAGGTAGTTGCATAGCCAATTTGCCCAACTCAGTGGCAGCTCAGACTCCACAAAGGTTTCAGCTGCTTTCAGGAAGAGTGTGCTCAAGCAGCCTGTGAGAGGGAGGTGAGCCAGTGGCTGTTGGGCAAAGCAGCTGGCAGGATGTGGCCATCCTGGGAACAGAAGGACACTGAGGCAGAAAAGGCCTAGGCAGACCAGGCCAAAGCAGAACAGTGACCCACCCGAGGCCTGAACAAGAGGGCTGTCCCAGTGGTGGACAAAGAGCCCTAGAGCAGCCATTGCTAGGCCTAGCACCAGGCAGAGCAGCAGGAGTAGTGACAGCACGACAGGCTCCCCCCAGGCCAGGAACCTTGACCTTCGAGGTAAGCAGCTTGTGCTTTTCTCTGGAGACCACTGATACTGGTTACATGGAGTACAGGAGAAGTCATCTGTAGTGGTGAAAGAGAAAGCGATGTGGGGCTGGTGATGGAGACAGCTCAGCAAGCTCCCCTAGGGCTTGCCTCAGCATTAGCCCTCTAGCCCCAAATGTGTAGAGTGTCTGGAGAAGATGGTTCACCTCGATGCTTCCGGTAGCTGCCTGCCTGGCAGTCCACACAGTCATAGCAGCAGGAATGAAAGCCCTTTACTCTGCGCACCTGGCCATCTTTGCACTGCCGGGAACACTGGGAGACTGGCATCTGGACACAGAGCCTTGTGTTAGGCTTTGCTTGGCCAGCACTGGCCCCAGACCAGACCCACAAGCTCATACCCACCATGGCTTGTGCCTGCTTTGTCCTTACCTGGTTGTCTGGCCAGTGCATCTTGGAGTACTGTAGCTGAAGGGTGCCATTGAAGGTGCCTACCGTATGTAATGCAGGTGTAGGGCCTTGCCACACCCACATCTTCAGATCATACTCCATCTCTACATTGCCTTTACCATCAAACTGCAGGGTCAAGTCTCGAGCACGGAAACTCATGTTGTACATGTTCTCCAGGAGCTGTGGGGTGGGATGTGGTTAAGGCTGACCCACGAGCCTCTCCCAGTCAAGACAAGATTGGCTCTGCCTGATGGTTCAGTGTTCCTGCAGGAGCGGGCAAAACCCAGCAAAACCCCTACCCTTACCTGCCAGGGCTGAACAGGCTGTGATGTGGGGCAAGCTGAGACGTTGCAGCGTAAGGTGGTGTGGAGGGCCTGGGCTACACTATACACAGCTGCATACGTTGCAAAAATCTGGTGGTGCAGCTGCCCCGAGGACAGGTTCTGCAGCAGCCCCGAGGACAGGTTCTGCAGCATGATGGAGTCACACTGTGGGCAGCGTTGCCCCATCACGTGCTCCTCCAAGTCCAACTCAGCATTCAGTGAGGCACAGAACGTTGGGTCAGCAGCCAAGGCAAGGCGGGTCTCCACATAATGGGAAAATTCAGGCAGCAGGGCGCCCCGCTGCAGAAACCCAAGCACAGTGCCTACCCGGGCAACATTGGGCAGTGTCATGACCAAGTCAGAGGTCAACCAGGACTCACTGGCCACCCATACCTTGGGTGAGAGGCTATGTCGGATGCTGTAGCTGAAAAGGGAGTAGACCGCTCGGGCGGAGGCAAACAGTACCACCACATGGACTTTGCTTTGGTTTGCCTGTTGTAGCATATCCAACACCTTGCCCAGTTGCTGGTCAGTACTGCCATATAGTGGCACCAGGGCCTCATGTGCAATACAAATACCTCGTGTGTTGGCCAAGCCAGAAAGGATGCTCAGACCTTCCCGGCCATAGTCATCATCACTGCCTAGGGCAGCCACCCAGTTCCACCTGAAATTCTGCAACAGAGTCACAACAGCCTCCAGCTGCACCCGGTCATTGGGCACCGTGCGAAAGAAGGATGGAAATGTTTCCCGGTCACTTAGCCGCTCCATGCTGGCACTATAGCTGACCTGTGGTTATCAAGAAGCACTTTCTGATATAAGAGCTCAATGGGCACAATTGGCTGAGGGAACACAAAGGAAGTGGGCTCACCTGTGGCATGAGGAAGAAGCTGAAGAACTTGCCTGTAATAAGAGCAAGCTCTGATGAGTGGGGCCCGATGACAGCCAGCACACGAGGCTGGTACTGGGTATAGTTGCAGTAGGCAGCAATGCTTTGACTGCCCACCTTGGCTAGGAACATGAGGCTGGGCTTCATAGTGACCACTGGCTCTGAGCAAGTGTCAAACAGGTCATAGCCCAGTCGCAGCCCAGGGAGCAAGGCAGATCCATTGTTAATCTCCTCTACAGCCATCTTCATAGCCATGGCCAGGTATAAACCAAGTGGCGAGAACCTGAGACCACATGGAACTGCAGGTGATCACCACATTCCCAGCTCAGGAGCACCACAGATCCAAGGCTGCCAAGCTTCAGCCCACCCTCAAACCCAGCTGCTAGCCTCCATACCTGGTACACAGGATGCCGTTGGGTTGTGTTCTCTGGTAGAGAGTGGACTCCTCAGTTGAGCCCAATGGAAATAGCCCACCCAGTATGTAGTCCCCTTGTGCCTTAAATTGCTGTGATAAGCACAAGGAGGCCCCCATCCCAAGGTCCAGGAGAGCAGCCAGGCTGAGGCCCAGGACAGCCAGGCCTAGCATGGTAGGCAGAAGCTTCCAGCAGAGACAACAGATGGGTATGCTGGGCTGGAGCCCCAGATGTCTAAGGGAGGGAGCAGAGGATTTGTTTAGCAAAACCACTGCCATGCTTGGCTGCCAAGCCCTAAGGGCCTCCGGTGATATATGCAATAGCTCAAGCCTGATGGCTTGTGTACAGTGATTCCATTGATAAGCTCTGTCTAAGAGTGACTCACCAAGCCAACTGTGACTATTGACTGTGGTCCTGTCACCTGCCTATTCCCAAGCCCCTCAACACCCTTTATTCCTAGAGCAGCTTGACAGACCATAAAAAGGATGGAGGAGAAGCATCCAGGGTTTCAGGGTTTCCCTTGACTGGGGGTTAGGGAACATCAGGACCATACTTATAGTCACAGAGACACTTTTTATCTTCTGGCTTCTGATTTATAACAGTACCGTCAATAAGAAGAGGCTGTAAAGCTGGTCCCTCAAAACAATGACAATAGACAGGTGGCTAGCCAGGGCCCTAACCTTCAGATGGAATAGGGAGAGGTCAGGCTGAGTTTCTTGGGCTTCCCAACCGGCCTTGGGCCCTGGGGCAAGGCAGACTCCTTGAGAGGCCCAGCTGTCCTTCTGGAGTTCTGACACTCCAGCTGTGGAGACCTTTGGCCATTCTGCTGATCCTCAGTGTAAGCACCCCTACCTTGGCAGGCATGCAGGCACCTCTCTCTGCAGTATTCAAGCTGGTCCATGAAAATGAGAAAAGGCTGTAAACAAATAGGTTCCTGCAGCTGCTAGAGCCAGGTGTGTGCCTGCTGCAGATGACAGTTCCTCTTTCCTGCTTCTGGTGAATTTTATGTCAACCTGACACAAACTAAGTTATCTGAAAGGAGGGAACCTCACTGAGAAAATGCCTCCATAATATCTGGCTGTAGGGCATTTTTTAAATTAGTGATTGATGGGGGGGTGGGGAAGGCCCGGCCCATTGTGGTGCCATCCCTGAGCTGGTGGGCCTTGGGCCTTGGTTTTATTAAGAAAGAAAGCAGAGTGAGCAAGCCAGTAAGCAATACCCTTCCATGGCCTCTGCATCAGCTCCTGCCACCATGTTCCTACCCTGTTGAATTCCTGTTCCGACTTCCTTTGATAATGAACAGTGATAGGGGAGTGTAAGTTGCTTTGGTCATAGTGGTTCATCAGAGCAACAGTAAGCTTAGCTAAGACATCCACTCTTAGCCTTGGTGTGAGGGAGCTGTTACTAACACAGCAGGTTTCTGGCACCTAAACATGGTGGACGCTGTTGACTTTTTGGAATGGATGCCTGGGTAAAACTGCAGTGTCATATGGCACCCAGCAGGTGTTATGGAAATGTCCACGGTACGTCCCTGCTGCTCGGTGAGAGTGTCCACAAGGCGCACTCACATGCTTACACGTGTACAACAGGAATCTGTATCTGGCACACATATCTGCTATCGCATCCCTATTTTCTGGCCAGTGCCTTGAAGTCATCAGCTTCAGCTAGCACTGTGTGGCCTCTGGTTCTCAGCTGGGCATAGGCACGGCTAGACAACAGGACAGCCCAAGCAGACGAGGTGTGTGTGGTAGAGTGCCAAGGAGATACCGCTCATTATTTATCCTCTGTTTAGGTCGATGCCATGCAGAAAGTAATTCTAGTTTTCCTCCAGCTTTGTTACACAGTACCTGGGTGTCTTCAGACCTATCTTCCAACCCTCAAGATTGGTGACTCAGGTGTGTTCTCAGCTGAAAAATGGAGATACTGCAGACCTCATAGTGTATGTGTGTGATCAAGTTAATATACATCAAGGGCAGACATATGGTAACTTCTTCAGTTCTGGCTGCTGGCAGGGCATGTTTCAAGGTTCATATTGTCCGGTGAGTCTTCAGGATTGGGGCCACATGGTTCAGCCTTGTCCCTAGGGTTAGCTCCCTCCCCACCCATATTAGTACTTTTATGTTCTTCCCCTACAAAATCAGGCACCCGACACACCTGTGGCCCATCCCAGAATGCCATACCCAGCCATGTAAGTCTAATTTATTTATGTTGGAAACACCACATATATTATAGTTTTTGAGGAAAGAGATGTGCCCCAATGTTTGCGTTTATACACATCGGCTATACTGGGGGCACTGTCCCTAGGGCTTAACACTAAGACCCAGTGGGAAAGGTGAGGGCCTTATGTACTGGGTGCCATGCTGTGTATGGCCATCTGTCAAGGCCATCTAGACAAGGGAGCTAGACTCCTTCCACAAGTCATGTCCTAAGTCACCTGGGTACCATAGTGACAGGAGCAGCAGGGCTGCCTAGAGAGAGGCATGGTTTGGCCAGTTAGTATTGACATATTAAAATCTTGGGTGCATGTGCTGCAAGAGCACTAGGGCAGGAGGCCACCTTCAGAAGACTGATGCTCCTGTCCTGAAGAGGCTGCGAAGCTGCTGTGCTGATCAACGTAGGCTTTCTCAGGGAAGCCTCAGCTAGCAGTCTCAGACACTTTCAATTTCCAAGGAGACAAGGGCCTGTTCAGTGTGCAGAGAGACTAACAGAGAAGCTGGAGAAGGGCAGGGAAAGAGCCTGTAATATTCAAACCACTGCCATAGGAACCTCATCTTACCATATTCCAAAAGAACAGCTTTTGGAATATGAAGGGGCTCCAGGCATGTAGGCCTGGGGCTGTTTGTCTGGCATTGATGTCATGTCTCAGGCTCAGGATGGGCACAGGAGGGTGCAGACTGGCTGAGCATCTTGGCTGTAGAGAAGACAGAACCTGAGCTCCAGGGTTCTGTGCCCTTACACAACTTCAGATTCCACACACAGAAGGTGAAGCAACCCAGGGTTGTTGCAGATACGTTACCCTCCTCCCTTATCTCCTCCATGTGCCATCTGCACTTCAGGAAGGCCTACTGAACACACACATAACTAAAGCGGAGGGCAAAACTGGAGTTCAATGGTCTCGTCCTGGACCGGGAGGTCAACTAGCACCCACCTCTCTTGGTTCAGCTGCCCACCACCTTTCTTTTCACAGACTGTGGCTCTAACAAGCTCAGGGGTTACAGGGACATCCAGAAAGCAATGCTGTGGAAGTAGTCCCAGGTTACCCAAACCCAGTTCTGAGCAGGGGAAGCCCATACAGTGTGGCCACCACCATTACGGCAAGTCTAACAGGGAGTGCTCGGCATAGAGCTTCTGGGAGATATCATACACATTCTCAATGAAGGGCAGGGCCTCCCCCAGCATCTCCACTGCCTGCTCAGAAGACCCCACATTCATGGCCTCCAGAAAGACCTTGCGTGTGGGCAAGGCACAGAAGGCCACAGTGACGGCTTGACGTATGATCCAGGAGTGATAGGCAGCCAGCGTGGTATTGTAGGCGTCGCTGCAGACTGTGGAGGTGCGCGCATCCTCAGGGCTGGTGCGCAGGCCTTCCAGGAACAGCTGGAGCCAGTGCAGAGCACGATGCAGGCGCAGCACCGTCCGGCAGCCTGAGTTAGGGTACCGAGAACGGGAGCGGCGATCTATGTCCACCAGTTTGTTGCCCACCTCGTAAGCTACCATGGACTGCAAGCTAGTGTAGTGCTCACACTGTGGGCTGTTTCTCAGATGCTCCATTACCTGCAACTTGGAGACCACATCCTTGGAAATGAATGAGAAGACAGCGCCCAGAGTGTTCAGAAACCTGTGAAAGGGTATAAATCTGAGGTGCTACCCAGACCTGCAGCCATCTTGTAGCACAGGGAACACGACCTTGAACCTGCTGTCTGTCTGGAGTTGTCTGTCTGGAGGCAGGGGCAGAAAGGCTGGGTGGAAACAGTCTGCTAGCTGGTCCCATGCCCCTGTGCCATGTGGGACGCAGGCATTCCAGTGTGGACTCTGACTAGCAAAGCCTCCCCAGTAAACGCACCTGACTAGTCCCTTCCAGCTGGCGATATAGTGGTCCAGCAGCACCTCTCCGTCCTCACTGAGACATTGCTTGAAGCTGACCAGGACGACCTTAAGGTTGAAATCTGTCTCTGAGTCATCCATCCTCCAACATGAGCTGAAAGAGTTTCACATAGAATTTGTAGTCAGCATGCTGGATCAGCTCATTCTGTGGTTCATTTTCTCAGGAAGGGATTGGGAAAGGTTTGAAAGAAATAGTGGGGTGCTAAAACTGCCAGCTGAGAATCACAGTGAAGTTCCATCCCTCTACCTAAGTGCCGTCATCAGGAGCTATGAGCAATTCCACAAGCCAATTTACCCAGCTGTGCCCTTGATGGATTCTGTACCCACAGCCTTGACATAGCTGCTCCTTGCCCTTCAGGCTAGCAATCTCTTCCTGATCTGAGATTCCATGGTGAACTGTTTGCATCTGCTCTTGCTTCTTGCTTTCCTGTTTCTTTTCTTCCCAGAGCATCTCTTTCACACATTAGGGGAATATTTCTTCTCTTTCTCTCTCTTTCTCTTTCTTTGTTTTTAGAGACAGGGTTTCTCTGTGTAGCCTTGGCTGTCCTGGACTAACTTTGTTTAACAGGCTGGTTTTGAACTCACAGAAATCTGCCTGCCTCTGCCTCTGTTTCCCTGTGTGCTAGGATTATAGGTATGTGCCACTGAGCTCAGCTCAGGGGAATGTTTCTAAAAGGCAGGCATAGTCCTGGACCCTGACCACACCTGGACCTAGACTTCACTGTATCATGGAAGCATTCTGATGGGAAGGTGTACCAAAACAAAAATGGGGACTGTAAAATAGCAAGTGATTCTCACACAGGGAAGGGTGGAGAGGGTGGCTAGACAGGCTTTTTCTTCCTTTATCATAGCTGTAGGCCCCAAATTAAAGCAGAGGCTGTGGGCTGGCACCTGCTAGACAGACAGGCAGATACTCCTGTTGTTGAAATGGTATGCATGCCCAAACAACAGGGTATCTGGACCAAACGTTTTATCACTTACAAAGGATTGCTGCAAGTCCTTCCACCAGCTCCAGGGAACACTTTGAATGTGGTCTAGGAGAGAGGCCTCAAGGTAAGGCTGGACTCTGGATTCTGTAGGCATCTTTACAGTCACTCCACAAACAGTCTAGTTCCCACATTTATTAATTTGTTTTCAGTTGTGGGGACTGAACTTAAGGGCCTCTTGTATGCTGGGCAGGGAATAGCCTAGGCAGGCCTTTAATGTTCTTTCTTTCTTTCTTTTTTCTTTTTTTTTTTTTTTTTTTTTTGAGACAGGGTTTCTCTGAGTAGCCCTGGCTGTCCTGGAACTCATTCTGTAGACCAGACTTGGCCTCGAAATCAGAGATTCTCCTGCCTCCAACTTCTGAGTGCTTAGATTAGAGACATGTGTCATCACGCCTTTAACTTTCAATCTTTGCTTCCTGAGTAGCTAGAACAAGGCTCCTCTTGTGCTAGTATCTTGAATGGATAACTCTAAGCACCCAGCCCCCACCTTCCCTAGTATCCTAAGAGCCTTGTTATCTGGGACCAACCCTGTGGGGCGGGGCTGTATCTCACTTATGTCCAACACTTAAAACCAGTTTTGGAGGTTCTTAGTGTTCCTTAGTGCTGGATGCCTGCCCTAACCTCTGTACCATGAGGGTGTCAAAAACCCATCCCCATCCAGTGTACCTGGATCTGTGTGCAAGTTCTTTCTTTCCTTCACACAGTTTTATGACTCAGTTCTTCAGCTCTGGCAAACTGGTCTGCATGTCTCCTAGTCCATGACTGAGGCTGCCAGAGTGATGATAGGGCCCCATAGGTTGGACTGGATACTTGTAAGACGTTCCAGACCTTCTGGAGATAGGCTTACCTTCTGTTCAGGTGTCAAGGACAGTCCTACCTGGGCCTCAGAAAGATGGCGACAGCCAGAGTCTTGCAAAACGCCCCCTTTTCAGGACCTGTGTGCTGTCCAGTGGGCAAATACTCTCTGAGGCCCCCTACGGTTCATTTTGGCCACCTAACATTCTGGCGGCCAGGCCTTCCTGCCCAGAGCCTGAGCCAGAAGCCAAGTAGCCTCTTAGAGCTGTTCCGCGGTAAACTGGAAAGAACAGGAAGGGAGGAGAGTTCACCAGCTCCTGGAAGGCGATGCAGACACCTCTAACCCTCCCACAGAAGATCAAGCCAAACAGGATGGACAGCCGACAGAAGTTGGCACACAGCAGGGAGCCAGGACGGTGCAGGGAAATCTGCAAATCTCACCTGGGACGGTTTCCTGTAGTGCGGAACTGGCTGGCTGTAGTGGGAACTACTCCGGCGGACGGCAAAGGGTGCAACAGAGGCCAGTGATGGGGAGTGTTGATCAAAGCTACAATTAGGTTGCTGTGGGAGCCGAATCTTCGCCAGTGTGTTCCTCTGTTTGCAGAGACTCGACTCCTCTGCCTGGATCACGTCAGCTAGGCGTCCCCATCCCTTGCCCCAAACTCGGAGCTTGCTCGGAGCCTGCGGTTGGACAGAAGCCTTGAATTGCAGCCCAATGCTCAGCCCCTGCCCCGCCCTTCGCTGCCACGCCATCCCAATTGGTTGCTGGTCATCCAATTAGAACTCGACGTATCGGCTCGCGTTTCCGGCGCGAGGACAGGAAGGGGGCGTGTTGGCGGTTGCGCCTGCTCAGTGTGTGAGAGTGGCCGTCGCTAGGTGTGGGGGCTGCCGCTCGCGAGGACTAAGGCGTGCATGCGGGCGGTGCACGCGAGTCCTGGTTCCAGACTGCCTCCCTGACGATGCCTGAAATTAGAGTCACTCCCTTGGGTGAGTCCGTGTCTGAAGGGTTTTCCGCGGCGTCCGGCGAGCCCGGCCGGTCACTTCATTTCCATAGCTGTCTACCAGCTGTGCGCCTGAAGGAGCGGAAGCCGTGGTAGAACTTTTCGGAGCTAGTGCTTCCTTATCTCTGCCTGGCCCGGGGGTCGAAGAGATGTGGAGTTGATTCCGGGCTCTAGTGCTCGGTGAGTTATTGAGGCCCAGCTTCTGTACCCAAGCTGTTTAACAGCGAGACGAGAACGAGACCCTGAAGCTCAAGGTGGCTGTGAGGTGAAATGGGTTTTGGGCAGGTGTCACCTCTGTGCTTAGCCTGTCATTGGTTTTGAATCCGGTACAGAGCTCGTCCTTGCGACTCTTCCATCCTGCATGTGGACTGCTGCTTCAAGACCCCTATATTTGGGCATCTTCCTCACTTTTGGTGTCTCCACCCTCTCCCCCTGCGCTTCCCTTGCCCAGGTTGCTTGCTATCACACCTCAGTTCAGTCTTTGCGTCTGGTATATCCCGAACTTTAAAAACTGTACTTGTTCATCGTAGAAAACATAGATCTAAACTTTTATAAGCTCTAACAGCATAGTATGGTGTGTAGATGGAAACAACCATTTGAAATCTGGAGTTCCAACCTCCCCTCCTGGGCTTTTCTTCGTGCATGCGTTACCAGGGTGTTGGAAGCACCTCTGCATTCATGTAGGTCTTTAGGTCATCTTGGCTAGAACTGAGTCTTCGCAACTCACTGCATCACAGGACCTTAGCAGGACCAACTTCCCAAACTGACCACCCTCACCTCCCATAATTAGCTTACAAGATCAAGCATATTCATAGATCTGGCTCCTCAGTGCTACCTGAACTTGGAAAGTTTTGTTTTCTGCCACAGTTCAGAGAACTCTGGCGCCATTGTTGAATCTCCAGCTGATGCACTCAACGTCTAATTTCCCCACATCCCTAGGGAGTGAATCTGCCTGTGCAGAGATGTATGGGTGAGGCAGTGGCCTTTGCTTTCTCCTCAGTTTTGTCTTCTGTGTCCACATTTCTGCATAGTGTAGGCTTCTGACCTTGTTTCCTAGAATTGTAAGTCTCATTGGGAAGAATGTTTGCCAGTGCCCAAGAACGGGCTTTGTAATTCAGAAAAGCAGACTTTGACACCATTCTTGGTAGTTGTGTGACTCTGGGTGTCTGTTTGGCCATGTCCTCCTTTGTAAGGGTGCAGCCATTCCCCATCAGGTCCTAGCACGACTTCAGAGCTAGAAATACTATGGGGAGGGATGCTAAGACCTTTCCCTCAGGGGCACACATCTTGAACAGCCAGCAACAGGCCTGCAGGAGAACTCCTCCCCAGCCTCACTGTGACTGGCTGCATAAGGAGAACAGACTGGGCTGGTCACCATGATGTTTGTGGTACTAATAATGGCTGGTGCCTGCAGTTGGCAGGTGGAAACTGTAGGATCCAAGATGGAAACAAGGCTGTTTGTTGTTCTCAGACCTCTGTTGAGGTTTGAACCATGTCTTCTTATGGACCCATATCCCAGGGGAGATGTATGGATGAGGTAGTGTCCTTTGCTTTCTCCTCAGTTTTGTTTTCTATGTCCACATAGGCTAGTTAAATGGAGGAGATAGGTCTGTCCTGTGTGGTCATTATCTTGGGCTGAACAGCTGGGAGGGTTGCTTAGTCATCAGGAGCATGGGAGGCACTCCCATTGAGGCTGAACTAGGGATTCAGTGCTGTGGGTCCTGTGCTGCCCACTGTGTTGCAGATAGTTATTGGTCAGAGTCATGTTTCTTTATGGCTGGACTGAGGCTACATGCATATGGTACCACTCAACACTAAAACTCAGGGTCCGTGCTCAGCCTCTTCAGGAAGAAACCTGAGGGAAGAAAATCTCATTGGATTGCAGCCCCATAGAGGGCAAGGAGTAATTTAAGGTCTGGGAAAACAGCAGTAATGTTCCACAGAGCAGTGGCTCAATGCTCTGCTAGCACTCTGTTGCAGCTTTGAGATGTGCAGGAAAGCACATGACCCTAGCATAGTACCTTGGCTTCCTGTTGCACATTTCCCTTATCTGCATGTGAAGGCAGCTGTTTGCTAGTCCATGCTTCTGTCCACCCAACAGTCTGAGGGCCTGCAGAGCTGAAAGTAGTAAATAATGCAGTGGAAGCCAGCCCTTGGAGTAGTAAGGGAAGGAAAATTGGGGAAAAGAAAAGAGGCATAACCTTGTCACTCACTTGTTCTTCTCTTTGAACAGGGGCTGGCCAGGATGTCGGCCGCAGCTGCATCTTGGTCTCCATATCTGGCAAAAATGTCATGTTGGACTGTGGGATGCACATGGGCTACAATGATGATGTGAGTACTTTGTGTGGGTGGTCCAGAGGGTGGCAAGGGCCACGATTTATGATTTGCTTTCTAGTTCTTTCTGTCTAGCTATGTGAATCCTGGGCCCTTAGGGGACAAGTGGGACAAGTGGGCCATAGGGGCATGCCTGGACAGCTGTATCCATGAGAGTGGGGACAGGTAGCCCTGTTACATCCCGTCTGAGATGAGCTTCTTGAGGGTCCTTGATGCTGGTCATGATTATACCCCTTGTGTTTAGGTACTTGCTCAAATAGTAGTTTGTGAGGTCAGCTAGTGACACCCACCAATACAGGGTTTTTTAATCCCTTGCTGGGCCTACTTCCTGGGGTACACCACTCTTGCTTTCAGGAGACCCTGGGTAGCCTGCTGCGTTCCAACATTTCTCTTGTCTCCTCATCAGAGGCGCTTTCCTGACTTTTCCTACATCACCCAGAGTGGCCGTCTGACTGACTTTTTGGACTGTGTAATCATCAGGTAGGTTTGTCAGGGTTTTGATGGTCCTTCCTTTACACCCTGTTATAGAGGCCAAAGGCCATGTGTACCATTCAAGCTCCATTATGGGTCACTCTTCAGAATAGCCATTATCCCCTCAGAGCCAGACTGTACTCTCTAATGGGTTCCCCAGGAAGTAGAGACCTAGCCAAGGTAGCCAGCACTAAGGTGTGCCCTTCACCTTGCCAAGTGCAGGGCCACTCCAGCCTAGACGACTCCTTGAGATCCTTTTCCGCTACCACTTGGCAACAGGGATTGTACTCTTTTACCAATTCCTTCCCATTATACTAGCTAACTAAGTCTGTGTCTCTGCTGTGCTTCCTCTTTCCTCTAACTCTGCCCCCAAGCCTCACTTTCTCTTACTCCTTTGCTGTATCAAGAGTGCTAAGTCCTGTTGCGCACTGGACCTTCCTGATGTCTGAATTCAGTTCATGGTCTAGCCTCCAGCTGCCACTACCGTAGCCTGGTAGAGCTAAACAAAGGGATGGCACCTATTTTTCCTCTTTGGCTCCCATTCTTATGTTCTCTCCAGATAGGCTGCCCATACCCTCTCACAATTCCTGCTGTCACCTCCTAGTTGAGTTAGTCCCCCTCTGACTGCAGCACTTACTCTCAACACCTACCCTGCCGCTGTTAGCTAGAGTGGTCCTTTAGGCCTAAAGCAGCCTGTCATTTTTATGTTTTGTTTTGTTTCATGACTGTGTTTCTCCGTGTAGGCTGTCCTGGACTCACTTTGTAGACCAGACTGGACTTAAACTCTCAGAGATCCACCTGCCCCTGCCTCCCAGAGTGCTGGGATTACAGGCATGCACCACCACACCCAGCTAAGCAGCCCATCTTGATAAGCCTTCAGTAGCTCAGGCTGTGGTGTGTTGGTTCCTTCTGGACATGGATCTCCCACTTTTGGCTTTTGGGTTGGCTGGCCCTATTCTTTCTGCTCTAGGGTATTCTCAGGCTTTGTACTGAGCTGTCTCTATTCTCTCTTACCTCCACCAGGAAGACTTCTTGACTTCCTGGCAGATAGTGGCTCTTTTTCTAGTATGGTGTTCCCTGGCCTGCCTTATATTTCCTCTCCAGCTTGTCACCCTCTGATTCAGATGGTGTGTTTTGTATGTATTTGTAGGAGGCCATAGACAACCTCAGGTGTTATCCCTTTTTAGTCATCATGTTCCCTTGTGGATTTTTGTTTTATTTTGTTTTGTTTCCAAGACAGAGTTTCTTTGTGCAGCCTTGGTTGTCCGGGAACTTGCTCTGTAGACCAGGTTGGCCTTGAACTCACAGAAATCCATCCTGCCTCTGACTCTTGTGTTTAAAGGCATGTTTCACTATATGCCTGGCTGTTTAAGACTAAAAAACAAAACAAAACAAAACAAAAAAATATTTATTTTATTCTGTGTGTATGAGTAGTTTGTCTGCATGTATATAAGGGTACCACAAGCATGCATGCCTGGTGCCCATGGTGGCCAGAAGTGGGTGTTGGCTCTCCTAGAACTGGAATTATGGATGTTTGTGAGCTATCACGTGGATCCTTAAAACTGAACCAGTGCCTCTGCAAGCACAGCAAGTGTTCTTAACTGCTAAGTCATATCTCCAGTCCCTTAAACTTTGCCCTACATTTATCTATCTATCTATCTATCTATCTATCTATCTATCTATCTATCTATCTATCTATGTTTTGTTTTTGTTTTTGTTTTTCAAGACAGGGTTTCTCTGTGAAGCCAGGCTGGCCTCACAGAGATCTGTCCTACCTCTGCTTCCCAGAGTGCGGGAATTATAGGCATGTGCCACTGCACCTGGCTTTATTTTTTATTTTTGAAATTTATTTATTTTTATTTTATCTGTATGGGTGTTTTGCCTGCATGTATTTCTGTGTACCACTTGGATTCAGTGTCCC